TTGTATCACTGGAGCAGATTCTCCTCCAGCATCTCCAGCAGGCGCACTTCCGTCGTTTCCTCCAGCACTTTCAGGGTCTGGTGTTGTTGGACTAGTTGGTTCTGTAGTTGGTTCATTAGTTGGTTCGGTTGGTGCAGTAGGGGTTGTTGGAGCTGTTGGGGTATTCGATGTTCCTGGTTTATAATTTAAGTCGACATCAACGCCGCACATGTTTATATCGCCATCGTACTGTTTCATATATGGGTTGGTGTATGTATTAAATTGGTACTTTGGGTTCTTGTAATCATCAAATGAGGCTGTGTGATCGTAGTGAGAGTACCACATTGGAAGTGCAGCAGCTGTTTGAGAGACATAACCACTACCCATGACACTTGGCCAAACTCCAGATGACGAGTATATACCATATCTGATTCCAGACCCACTCGCTGCTTGCAACAAGTCTTCCAAGAACTTTCTGTTGGTCTGTGTGTTCTTAGACCACGAATTGACCTCCACATCAAACCACAAAGTGTTGAAACTGAGTCCAGAAGACTGCGCTGATGATAGGAACGAACTCAGTTGACCAGAAGGGTTTCCACAATTAACACACGGGTAAAAGTACACGTCAATGTCATTAATCCCCAACGATTTTGCGTTGGCATACGTTCTCGGCGCTTCTTGGTCAAAGACATTGTTAGATCTCCATCCTCGTATAACTCTATTGTGTTAATCGTATTAATTATTGTGGTGTTCAATTGTATTGTTTTTTGATGATGACTATAACAGATATATAGTTTACCAACTTTGACATTGATACAACGAGAAAGTTAAGTGTTTTGACGGAAATTCGGAGATCACGCAAAGTACATATTTCCATTTTTTAATAAGAAATTGACCAAAAACAAACATAAAATCGCCTTGTCCTTTACCAATAATACACTTTATTGCATCAACGGACATGGCATACGCGCAATCTATGCCTTTTGCCGCCTCTGTTACTCCCAAATAGGTTGTTACAAAGAAGAGTAATAACATTCAATAGTATGATTTTATAGCTCTTTTTTTCATTTTGGGAAAATCCAGTTATAAATAAATTTTCTATTATTCAAATTTTAACTTCTCATTTGTGGAGTTTTTTCTGTGATTTTTTGGAAAGTGTCCCGATTTTATTGGTTGAAATTGGCTTGTTGTTTTCATATTATGTAAAGTAGTGGAATAATCCATTTCATCTGTTATTTTTGTCTAAAAGTAAACTTATTTTTTTGATCTTTTTTATTCGTTCAAAACAAAAAAAATTCTTGAACATAAAATAACTTAGTGAAAAAAATATTTCTAAAATAGAATACAGTCAGTCTTTTAACGTTATCTGGTCTCAAACGTTATCTGGTGCCT